CACACTCGGGGTTTTCCACAAAAATACACAACATAATTGGCGCAGCCGGTATACACACGTTTTTATAAACATACAATATAAAACGTGCAACGTGAGACGACAACGTCACCTACCTACGTGGGAGTTTACAGCATTACAACTATACAACACAACATAATTAATTAATTAATTGAACACAACATAATTGGCAACAAGAAGAAAAATGGGAGAAAAAATTGTAAGTCACTAATAAGAAATATTTATAGTTAAGTTTTTAAAATAGAAAGACATTTCATTTTTTAAGAAAGACAAATCAAATCAAAATAATATTGTAATGATATAATATATATTTTTATTTTTTTTAAAAATCAAATTTTATATGTAAATTTTCTGAATGTAAGTTTTATGTATGTAAATTTATTACTATATGTAAGTTTTTTTGAGTTCTGTTGTTCTACGTTGTTATGTGAAATTTCTTAATTTTCAAGTTTGTTCAAATATGGGGAAAAGTTGTTTTGTTTGCGATAAGCAATTCGAGGAAAAAGATTTAGAAAACCATCTAGATTCGCATAAATGGTTGTTTGAGAAAGCACATCGTATTATTAGTAAAATAGACAATACAAAAGATAAGGGAATATCTTACGAAAACATAAGCATAAAACCCAATAAAAACTGCATAAAACGACCAGTACCAAAAACAGATAAAGAGTGGGCCCGACAATATAGGCAAGAATTTAGAGAATTGTGGAATTAAACATTGTTTTTTTTTTCTAAGTAATAAGTGTAATACAGAGATATGGTTTGGTATTTTCTCTTTTGATTAATTAATTATTGTTATTGGTTGAGTGGGGTCACGTAATTATTTTGTTTTTATTTCTCATAAATGGAAAAGGAAATCGAAAATTTACAACAGGAGCTTAGAGTATTTAAAAGATATTTAGAATCGGCAAGAGTACACGCTTGGGAAAAATTAATTGAACTTAATCCAGATAAGGAATTTGTTCAATTAACAAAAGATCATATTAGACATAACAGGTTAACGAGGGTTGAAGAACTTGAATACATAAAGGAAAATATAGAGAGTGTGGAAGGTCTAAAGAATTGGCGAACGTTATTGAAGATTTGTCAGATGCTAAAAAGGGTTTGGAACATAAGTGTAAGCAACTAAGTTCACGCACGGAAGAATTAACAGACGCAGAAGATCAGACGGCAATTTTGGAGAACGTTTTAAAAAACCAGGGAAAAACGGAACAGGACATCAGTATAATCTTGGACTCAGAAGGTACAGATCACATTAGGGAAAACGAGATTAAAAAGCTAACAGCACAAATTGATGATTTAAAGAAAGAACTAGCGAAGTGCGGACAAACAAAACAGTTACTGAGAACAATGGTGGAAACAAACAATAACGAAAAAAAAGTTATGGCATCGATTACGGCAATCATGGAAATAGTAACCAAGGTGCTACCGTATTTCATGGGCACAGAAGGACCCGATCTACGGAGTGAAGTACATAAGTTTATTGCAGGTTGTGAACTGGTACAACAAGCACTACCGCAAGAGGGAGCACAGTATGTCGTAAGTTGCATAAAACAAAGATTAGTGAGTGTAGCTTACGAGAATATCGCGGGTAGACCATTCAACACAGTAAATGAATTGTGTGAGGCGGTTAAACGTACATACCTCAGGAAACGTACATTGGAACACATAAGGAATGATCTAACTTGTACCAAACAAAGACAGAATGAGTCAGCGAGTTCATTTGGAGGTAAACTGGAGGCGTTACTACATGAAGCCGAACAACTAATAAGAAATCAAGAAGGTGAGAGTGAAATTCTGTCACTGCGACTAACAGTACGTTGTTTTATTAAGGGTTTGAAAGACAATAGTTTAAAGCATAGGTTTATTGGGTTAGAGAATGATCCTATCCAGAAACTAATTTTTATTGCAGAATCAGCCGAAGAATTATTGGGTGAATCACGTTCAAATATAAACATGTCCACCACAGAGAATCGAACAGAAATGAAATGTACGTTTTGTAAACAAGACGGACATGGATGGGCATTCTGCCCAGAAAGACAAAATACGCCATACTGTACAAATTGTGGAGTATATGGGCATGAAAATGGACCCAAATGTAGAGAACATCCTATGGAGACAGTAAAACAAGAAAAAACGGCCTGCAATTTCTGCAAGAAGACGGGACACGATACAAAGGATTGTTTCAGTAGACTAAACAAATTGTATTGTACTTTTTGTGGAGTGAGAGGACATGAACAGAATAAATTTTGTAAATTGGGACATACAGGATGTGGGAACCAAAATAACTACAGTAACGTGAGACAAGAGAGGGAATGGCAAAACCATTCAGTACCTTTAAAGCACAGTAATCCAAACTTTAGCAGACCAAGTGGAAGACCTTTGAGTGCAAATCTTAGATGTTTTAGGTGCGGCAAAGAAGGACATTTTGCAAAAACTTGCAGAATAACAGTACCAAATCCGTCGGGAAACTTCAACCGGCCCAGTCTAAGACATTAGACTGGACTGCCGTAAATTCAAAAAGTAAATGTCAATTTAATTTAGGACCTGCACGAATAACTAAAAGTAACAGCAACAACAATGTTCAGAACCGATCGAATACAAATAATAAGACGAAGAATTTAGGAGCCAAAGCGGTTAATTCAAGGAATCATGGTATAATCACGATAAAACATAAGGAAATGCAAGAAAATTTGACCAACCAAATAGGGTTTAAAAATTCAGAGGAAAAAATTAGTTATTTGAAAAAGCCGAAATTGAATAATATAGTGTTGAGGGTGAACAAATATATGTTCAGTATTTGGACATGTATAGTTACATTACTAATTTCATATTGTTCAATACTATCGGATTACTGGAAAGAAAAATCAGAGTGGGTGTTTGAACAAATAGGAGTTCTACGGGCAAAAGGAGCGAGTTACAATGCCAAAGGTAGCATTAGTCAATCGTTTGATGATGCCTATGTAGAAGTACCTTGCGAACGTGCAGTGGGGAATAAACTTCGACTTTTAGTTGACTCGGGAGCAGACACCAGCCTTATAAAAACAGAGGCGTTAATCGATTTAAAAGATATAAACACCAAAGACACAAAAGGTCTTACAGGAGCTTTTGGAGGCAATATAAGTACATTGGGTACGGTCAATATTGAACACCGAAAATTTCCAGCTCTACAATTTAAAATGCATGTAGTGCCAGTAGGTAGCCAGTTACCAGCAGACGGACTTCTAGGTAGAGATGAACTGTGGAACCGGTCTACTACAGACACAATTAAAAAGGTTTTAAAATTTTTTAAGAATAAAGAGGAATTAGCTACTTTACCACTGGTAAGCATTGTAGATCATGGTCGGATTTGTATAGCAGAAAGCATGACAATCCCAGGTAGATCAACAATGATTATTCCAGTAAAAGTAGTGCCTAAAGAAGGAACACTCGTAATACATAAAAGGGAAATAGTTAGAAATGTCTATTCAGGTGAATGTTTAACAGAAGTAAAAAACGGAATAGGTTTTGTAAGAATTTTGAATGCAAACAACTATGCAGTTGAAATGAATAGTGAAATTGAATTAAAGGGCAGTGATATGAATGAGTACTATGAGTACAATGTCCCTAATGTTAATTTGAACAAAGAAGTAAACTTACAGGAAAGGTACGGAAAATTACTGAAATTAATAAGATTGGATGAGCGTTTAAACAATGAAGAAAGACGGTTAATTACGCAGACAATTAAGGAATATAACGATGTATTTCACTTATCAGGAGATAAACTGTCCTATACATCAGTGTTGGCACACGAAATTCCAACAAGTCATGATCAAATACCGGTAAATCAACGACAATATAGATTACCAGAAGCACATAAGGAAGAAATTAATAAGCAAGTTAGTGAAATGCTAGATGAAGGGATAATAACAAGGAGTAAATCACCATGGAACTCTCCTATCATCCTTGTACCAAAAAGGTCAGGTATAGATGGGGAAAAGAAATGGCGTCTCGTGGTTGATTTTAGAAAATTAAATGAAAAAACAATTAAACAGGTGTTTCCAATTCCTAGAATTGATGAAATTTTAGACCAACTAGGATGCAGTAGATATTTCTCAACGCTGAATTTGGCTAGTGGCTATCACCAGGTGATGGTAGACAGTAAATACAGGGAGAAAACGGCATTTAGCACAGGTCTAGGACATTTTGAATTTCTTAGAATGCCATTTGGTTTAACAGGAGCACCCGCA